ATAGGCAACCCTGCCCCCCTTTGTTGCTGCTGTATATATACAGCCATTTCAAAAAATAAAGTCGAGGCTTGATCAGAACCTTGTCTTGCCTCCATTCTTTCGCATTCCTTGTTTGTTTCATTCTCTTAGGTGGTTCCTGCATACCCCCATTTTTGCCCCGCGGGCCGGGACATGGAGGGGTCACAGATGGCAGAGGGTGACTCATTTCTGGGGAGCAGGGCAGTTGTCCAGAGGAAGCGAGGTGGCTAGAGTGACGGGCAGGCCGGTCAGAACAAGGACCAGGCAGCATGACTTGGAAGCAAACCTGCCAAGGCTTTGGTCTCATGGGCTCACACAGGCTGTTTGCATGTCAGTAGTAAAGAAAGAGCAGAGCCCTAGCTGGTTTGGCTCAGTGGATACTCAGGAGCACAATTGCTGTAAGATTATGTTTAGCTCCTTAAGAAACTAGCAACAGTCTTCCAAACTGGCTGTGCCATTTGGCATTCCCACCAGCAATGGATATACTACTGCTGCTCCACATCCTCACCAGCTCTTGGTGGTGTGGGTGCTTGGGATTTTAGCCATCCCAATAGGTCTGTAGTGGTGTCTCATTTTTGTTATTTTGTTTTAATATATTGTTTTATTGATTTCAGAGAGGAAGAGGGAGGTAGAGAGAAATAGAAACATTAACAATGAGAGGGAATCATTGACTGGCTGCCTCCTGCACGCCCCCAACTGGGATTGAGTCCACAACCTGGGCATGTGCCCTCAACCGGAATCGAACCTGGGACCCTTTGGTCAGCAGGCTGACACTCTATCCACTGAGCCAAACCAGCCAGGGCATCTGCTCCAGGTTTAAGTATAAGCTTCTGTTGGCAGACCTCCTCCCTCATTGAATCAGACAGCCTCTGGGTGTAACATCCTATTCCAAAACTCAGCAGCTTAAAACAATGGTCATGCACCTGTGGGCAAAGTGGGGTTCAGCTGAGTGCAGCTGGGTGCTCCAGGCCACGGGCCTGCTCTGCTCTATGTATCTCACACCTTCTTAGGCCCAATTTAAATATATAAATGTGTTTCAATATAATTGGTTTCCTTTGTAATCTTACGGATATTATTTTATGCATTTAACCCCATCCCAGCACCTGTCACACTGCTCTGAGTCCCCACTGGATGGACTGTGAGCTCCCCAAGGGCAGAGACTGTGTTCACATTTCTATTTTAATTTTTTATTATGAAAAACTTCAAACATATACATAGAGAGAAGGGCACCATGTAACCCCATACACCCACCACCTCCCTCCCCAGCCCCCCATTACAGATTTTGTCTCATTGGTTCCATCTCTCCCCTTTTTATTTCTTTCTTTGCTAAAGCATTGGAAAGCAAGTCATTTCCCCCTATGTATTTCATCATGCTTCTCTAAGAAATTCAGTAAGTAGTTTTTTTGTTTTGTTTTGAATATATATTTATTTTTTACATAGAGGAAGGGAGAGGGATAGAGAGTTAGAAACATCAATGAGAGAGAAACATTGATCAGCTGCCTCCTGCACACCCCCTACTGGGGATGTACCCGCAACCAAGGTACATGCCCTTGACTGGAATCAAACCTGGGACCCTTGAGTCCTACCGGCCGACGCTCAATTCACTGAGCCAAACCGGTCAGGGCAGTAAGCAGTTTTTAAACCATGAATCACTGTGTGTTCAGAGCTATTTATAATAGCCCCAACTGGAAACAAGCTTGTTAGCTAACATGTGAGAATGAGGATATACCGGTCAAAGGACGATGCCGCCCCCATTAGAGAATCAACGCGAAGACCACACAGCCACGTGGCCAAATGCTTGTGGTCCATGGTGTTCTCTGCGCCCTCACTGGTTGCCACAGCCCTGCCTGGCTTTCTGGCCAGAGAGGAGGAAGGCGGGGGTTAGGATAGTGGGTGACGGGCGAATGCGTTATTCTCCCTTCAGAATATTCTTCCGTCATCTCTCGAAGCTGTTGGTAGCTAACCAGAGTTGCCGCAGCGGCTGTGAGGCCGAACAAAGGCCTGAAGGAATGTGCTGGCTCTGGGGGGGGTGCTGGCGGGAGGCACAGGGAGCCTGGCTGTAGCTCCCGGAGGTGGCTGACGCAGCACGGCTGTAGATTCTTCTGGGGCCTGGGGTTGGGAAAGGCGTGGTACAATGGCAGGCCGTTATCTGATGCTCCCAGCCTGGGTGCGCCTCACACATGTGGGCGCCTGTGATAGGGCCCGGAGCTCACTAAGGCTCCACATGGTGACCTTTTCAAGGTCAATGGTTGTGTTATCTTCATCTCCCCTCCCCCCCCCTCAGAAGCTGGTCTTGGATTGATTACAAACCGGTGTGACCCATGGGCTAGTCCTGGGAAAGCAGGACCCACTTCCCAGCTTGTTTCCCAGGCGCCTATTCCCAGAGGAGGAGGGGGCCTGTCCACAGCAGTTCCTCGTATGTACCCCCATCTCCTGGGAGCTCAGTGCCCTGCAAACAGGAGGCACCAACTCAGTTCTTGTTCTCCCGAGTGCCAGGCTGGGCCCAGTAACTACCTTGAAAATGAGACCTGAGTCCTAGCTAGTTTGGCTCAGTGGATAGAGTGTTGGCCTGCAGACTGAGGGTCCCGGGTTTGATTCCAGTCAAGGGCACATACCTCGGTGGCAGGCTCCATCTCTGGCCCTGGTTGGGGTGTGAGGAAAACAACCAATCGATGGGTCCCGCTCACATTGGTATTTGTCTCTGTCCCTCCCTGCCCCCTTCCTCTCCCTAAAAATCAATGGGAAAATATCCTCAGATGAGGATCAACAACAAACAAACAAAAAGAAGAAGGAAATGAAAATGAGACCTGAGAAATTTTGGAAGGAGGACCCGCCATAGTGCACTGTTTAGGGAATCAGGTATGGGAAGAAGGGGTGTGTGTCTGGAAGCCCCAAGTTGAAGTCCCAGCTCCCTTCTTAAGTCACTTGGGGACCTTGCAACTGACCTCATCTACCAACATGTCCATTCACCACCTCCGCCTGACTCTCAACCAATCCGACGCCACACACATTCGCTGAGCAGCTTCGCTGGGCTGTGAGGACCAGAGCTGAAAGCCACAGTTCCCGCCCTCGGGGAGGGCACTGCTCATAACGATAGCGTACTAGGGCCCGGTGTGCGAAAATTCATGCAAGAGTAGGCCTTCCTCCCCTGGCTGCCGGCAGCCGCTTCCTTCTGGCACCTGGGACCCAGGCTTCCCTCCTCCGGCCGCCCGCAGGGAGTAATTCCTGGGAACCAAGAGGAATTTCTGGGAAGGTTTTCATTGGCGATGGAGTAGAAATTCACCAGGTAGTCAAGTGCGGGAAGAACAGGAACAAAGACAGAGGCGGGAACTGGCTGTTTGGGAAACCTAGGGCTGAGGGTGAAGTGGCTGGAGGGGCGGCTTTCCTCCAGGGCTGCCAGGAGGGGCCTGGGAGTGTCAACTCAGGGGCTGTTATCTATGAGAACAGAAAACCCTTCTGACACCACGTGTGTGGTTCCCACAGCAGGCAGCCCTCCAGGTGTCTGCAGACACCTACCTACATCCTTTTAACACCATCTCCCAAGCGTTAGTCCAGACCCCACCTCTTCAGACACCAGCCACAAGTCGTGGATCCCCGGGGTTACCCACACTCTGTTCAATTTGGCTACAAATCAGGGGTTCCCACGACCCCCTCCTCGGATCCTATAATCTATGATAATAAAAAGGTACCATGCTAAGTAGACAGGACATCTTCCAGATGTCATTCCTGACGGAGCCAGGGCCGGAGGGAAGCCAGCCCGGATCCCGGCTGCCTGTGGGAGGCCCCAGGGAAGCAGCCCCGGCCGCGGGTGCCTGCGGGCAGCAGCAGGAGGGAAGCCCGGACCGGTGGCGGAGGGAAGCTGGTGCCCGCAGCAGGGGGAAGGAATTTTCGTGCATCGGGCCTCTAGGATGCTATAATAGGGAAACACTTTACTCAGGATTGCCTGTTCACTATAAAGGACACAAACGAGCAGTGAGATGAAGAGGTCATAGGGTACAAAGCTTCTGTCCCCGAAGAGTGTGGGGTGTGCCAGCTCCCCAGGCATGTGGATGCGTTCAAAGCCCCTTCCCTGGGTTTTCTCAGAGGTTCCATCACGTAGGAAGGACTGATTAACCCACTGGCCACCAGTGATTAGCTCCAGTCCCAGCTCCTCTCTTCTCCCCACAAGTGGGAGGTGGGGACTTGAAAGTTCCAACCCTCTAATCACAGGGTGGCTCCTCGGACAAGCAGCCCCTCCCCCCACCCTGAAGTCATCCGGGGGCTTTCAGCCACCAGCCGTCTCATTCACATGAAGCGCAGGATGGTGGGAGATGCTTCTAGGATGTGCACGTCCCACACGCTGTCCCTTCCACGGGCCTGTCCTGTCCTCACCTGTCACACTGCACTCCCGTGCCACGTCTGTGAACTTCTCTTCCTAACCTTTAGCACCACTTGGAAGACTTATGTGTGCAAATACTGTCCTCCCCAGTTAAAATGTTAGTTATTTGAACTGAAACCGGTTTGGCTCAGTGGATAGAGCGTTGGCCTGTGGACGGAAGGGTCCCGGGTTCGATTCCAGTCAAGGGCATGTACCTTGGTTGCAGGCACATCCCCAGTCGGGGGTGTGCAAGAGGCAGCTGATGGATGTTTCTCTCTCATCGATGTTTCTAACTCTCTGTCCTCTCTTCCTCTGTAAAAAAAAATCAATAAAATATATATATTTTTAAATGTTAGTTATTTGAGACCCTGTCTTGCTTGCTGCTTCACCCCTAACGGGCCAGGCATGGTCACCCAATGACTTCTTACTGAGTGAATGAAGAGTTCACTCTCTGCCACCCCCATCGCGTTCCTAAAGAACCCGAATCCGGCGCTTTGGGGCCCCACCTGGAAAACATACTGGGGTCCCAGGAGAAAGTCTTTATCCTCCAGGTGGAAGAGCGCGCCTGCGCACCCGCTCCGCCACGGCCTGCCCCGCTTCGGCCAGCGGGTGGCGCTGTGCGCACGCTCCCGGCAGCGCGGTCCTCCGGGCCGCTCTAGCCGCCCTTCTCGCCTGCTCTGGCGGGCGGCGGGCGCGCCCGCGGGGTCCCTCCAAGATGGCGGCGCAGAGGAGGAGCCTGTTGCAGAGTGTGAGGAACCGGCCCGCGCTCCGGGCAGGGGGCTGGGGGTCGGGGGGAGGCTGCGGGGGCGCTGTCTGGTGCAGGCGCGGCTCTGTCCTCGCTCCGGGCCGCCTACCTCTCCCCGGCGGAGGGCGACCGCCGCCTTCCCCGTCCCCGGGCGGCCCGCCCCGTTGACCCGGGCGGGGGCGCGTGCGCACTGCGGGCCGGCCGCCCGGGGCTCGGACTCCCGGGCTCGGACTGTCCGAGCGCGGAGGGCACGTGGACGGGGACAGGAAGGGGCCGTGGCGCCCGGCGGCGGGGAGGGCAGGGGTGCCCAGCCTGGCACTGGGCTGCCGTGGGAGGATGATGACCGTGGCAGCCACTTTGCACCACTGACTGCATCCCAGGCGCGCTGCCAGTGCTTCACGTTTGTAAGTTTAGTTGTCATGACAGCCCCGCGAGATGGGTACTGGGATGGTTCCTGTTGTGCACAGAGGCATCCTCTGCTCACGGCCACACAGCTGGTGAGCGGCAGAGTTAAAATCAGGCAGCCGTTCCTCTTCTTAACTTCTCTCCTGTGCTAATGGGCAGCCTGGTTTCTGGTCCTGGTTGTAACTCTCTGCCTCCTTCAGCCTCGGTTTCCTTATCTGCACCGTGAGGGCAGGCAGGGGAAAGGTTTTCTTTCTTTTTTAAAAATATATTTTATTGATATTTTACAGAGAGGAAGGGAGGGAGAGAGAGAGAGAGAGAAACGTCGATGAGAATCATCGACCAGCTTCCTTCTGCACATCCCCTACCTGGGATGTGCCCGCAACCAAGGTACATGCCCCTGACCGGAATCGAACCCGGGACCTTCCAGTCCGCCAATGCTCTATCCACGGAGCCAAACCTGTTTCGGCAGGGGGAAGGTTTTCTTGAGACTCATCTCTGCCTGCAGTCTGGACCCTCCTGGGTTTGTCGCTGGTGTCTTCCAGCCCCTGCATCCCCCTGACACATGTGCATACAGGTGCACACACGTGTTGGCACCTTGGGCTTATTCTTAACCTGCGAGCAGGTTGCCTTTCCCGTGGGTCCTCCCCAGACAGAGCAGCCTGTTGTAATTGCCTGCGGGCTTGTCTGCCTCCCGTGTGGGAAAGTGAACTCATGGAAGACGGACCTGTGCTCTGCAAGGAACAGTGTCACTAGTGCCCTCCACCACTAGGTGCCAGGCATTCAGTAACTGTTTGTAAAATAACGAGTGGAGCATGTGTAGCCAGATCCAGTGCTCACCATTGGCCCTCCTACCCTTGAGGGTCTTGAAGCATCAGAATTGGGGAGTGTGTGTGTGTGTGTCTGTGTGTGTGAGAGAGAGAGAGAGAGCGAGCTTTATTGCTGCATATTAATGACAGGCTTTATGTAGACTCTGAAATTTCTCTTCCAGGACAACTCCACACCTTTGGCTGCCCCCCCCCTTCCCCCCCCGCCCCCCGCCCCCCCACTATTACTTGGCAGGTCAGCCTTGTCGTTGAGCTGGGTAGACCTGGCCTCTGCTTTGTAAGCTCCCGGTGTAAATGTCCCCGGTGTAATAAACATTTCAGAAACACGGGGTGGAGCGGGGCAGAGGCTGGAAGTGGCCACCGCTGTGGGCTGACTGGCTTGCAGAGGAGACTGGCCGCCAGCTCCCTTCCCTCTGGCTGTGCGGGAGCCCATGGGACGGACTCGGGTTAGAGGGAAGGTGAGCTTTCCTAGCTCCAGAATGTTCCTGGGTGGTGGCAGGATCTTTGAAAGATAGGCGAGTTAGCCTTAAGCACATCGCAGCTTAAAGGGATGCCTGATATGTTTGCACAAGTCCCCTCCCTCCCTAACAACGATCCAGACATTTCTGCTCGCAAGGTGTCTGCCTGTGCGCTGTGCGGGTGGTGTGCGGGGCGTGCTGTCCTGCCCTCCGCTGTCCTGAGTCTGGTGAGAGGCGCTCAAACGCCATCATCCGGCTGATGGCTGTGAGTCTGCCAGGCTGGGCCTGGGTTACAAAGATAACAAAGACATCTGCGCACCCTCACTGCGTTTGCAGATCGGTCTGAGAAGGAGCCATAGGCCACTAAACAGTGCGCAGGCTGCTCCCGTGTCCGTGTGTTAGAGGCTGTGCACGGCCTGTCTGGCCGGGCCAGCGGGGCCTGCGGGAGGGCCGGGAACCGCGCACACGGGGGTGTGTGTGTGTGTGTGTGTGTGTGCGTGCTGGGCCAGGCCGGTACTTGGAGGAATGGCATCCCAAAGGGTCTCCCTTCCTTCCCCAGGCAGTGCGGTGCCTCCACAGGCCTTTGGAAGAAGAGAAGAGCTTTGGAAGCTAGCTTGATGTGTTCAAAAGAACTAGCTGCCTGATAGGACAGAGTCTGAGTCTGTATGGCCTTGGGCAAGTCACCTCACGTGCCCAAACCTTGGTTTCCCCGACCGAAGAGCACTTTCTTCTAGAAGTTCCGTTGGTAGTACAGGGATTGCCATGGTCACACTCCTAGCCCTGCGTGGTCGCTGCAGCGGGAGGTTCCACCTTCAGTTCTGCCGCGAGGCAGTGCCCGCTGGGCTCATTCCCTCAGTGTCGCCGTGTGGCAGGCACCGGGGAGGGGCAGGGGCACTGCCTTCATGAAACTCCCCTTCTCTTCCAGAAGGGAGACGTTAAACAGCGGACAAATACAGGTTACACATGATACAGTGATGTCTGTAAGGGACACAGGTGGTGCTGTGAGGATTCACACACACAGTGGCGGAGGGGAGGGCCTCAGTGTTTGATGAGGTGAAGTGGGGACCTGGGAAGGAGTGTTCCTGCCTGAGGGAGCGGAGATGCCCCCTGGGGAGCAGCAGGGAGGCCGGTGTGGCTGGAGAGGAGCATGCTGGGGGAGGGAGTAGCCGACGGTCCCGGGAGCCTGGTGGGTCCTCAGGTGGACTGTGGACTCTGTTCTAAGTGGGATGTGAAACTCGCGTGTGGTTTCAGGGCAGGATGTGACCTGGTTTGTGATTTGAGAAGCCCTTGAGTAGAAGCCTGGGACCTGCTAAGTGGTATTCAGTTGTCCAGATGTGAGGTGACAGAGGCTGGGCCAGAGCCATGGCAGAGGAGTGGGCGAAGAATTGGGTTCTGGCTGTATTTTGGAGAAAGGGCTGACATCATTTGCTGGCAGATCGGGTGTGGGGTGCGTGGCAAAGAAAGACAAGTTAAGGAGGGCTACGAGGTTTCAGTTGGAACAGCAGTGGTGCCCTTGACTGAGGTGGGGAATGCAGGGGTGCATTGGGGTCAGGGAGAAGCAGGTGTGTGATTTTGCCTATACTATTAGGTATATATTACTTTAAAAAATCAACTTGAAATCAACTTTTTTAAAAACTTAGATATGTCTTGAACTATCTATACAATCACAGGGGCCAGCTATATATTTTTCTAATGTCCATGAAAATATGTATCCATTAAAATAAAAACACCTGTTAGGCCTTCACCTACAGCCATCTCCTATGCCGGCAGAATTCGGTCCAGCTGCTCTAGCACAGTGAGTGCTCCACCGCTATTAGTGGCCCCTTTAAGAGTGTGTTAGGACTGTATTTGTGATGAAAACATAGAGGACCTTTGATGAAAACCCTGGTGAGAGAGGTGGAGGCACTAGAATGGAGTTGGTCCCAGAGGATCGGGAGGGAAAAGGGGGTCATTCAGAACGATGGAGCTTTCCGGACAGAAAGCACCACTGCGCCCCCCCCCCCCCCCCCCCCGAGCCATCTTCCCGGGGGCATTATTCTCCCTCTCTGAGCTTCCTCTTCGCCTCTAAGGAATTCGGGTGCTTTCACCACAAAAACACTCAGCCTTTTCATACTATAATTTGATATTCAAGCTGTGGCCTGAACCCGGAGCTGTGCTTTATCCACGAATGCTGCCTAGGAGTTGGAGATGTCTCTGTGAGGATTGAAGTGGATTTTTTAAATTTATTTTTTTATTGATTAATTTGAGAGAGAGAGAAAATTTGATTTGTTGTTCCACCAATTTTTGCATCCATTGGTTGGTAGATTATTGCATGTGCCCTGGCCAGGGATCGAACCCACAACCTTGGCATATCAGTATGACACTAGCCAACTGAGCCACCTGGCCAGGGCTGTAATGGACTATTTTTATGTCTATTACGTTTGACATGAGGAACTAATTTGTACATCTATTTATACAGGGCATTTATAATGCCCTTAATAGGTTATCTACAATTGGATCGCTGTAGAGTCTTTTCATACCAAAATATGGATGTTGGAAACTCCTGTTTACACAATCAAGTTAGAATTAGGATTAAAAAATATATATATATAGAATATATATATTTTTTTTTAATTGATTTTTTTGCAGAGAGGAAGAGAGAGGATAGAGAGCTAGAAACATAGATGAGAGAATCATCGACCAGCTGCCTCCTACACACTCCCTACTGGGGATGTGCCCACAACCAAGGTACCTGCCCTTGACCGGAATTGAACCCGGGACCCTTCAGTCTGCAGGCCGACGCTCTATCCACTGAGCCAAACCGGTTTCGGCAGAATTAGGATTTTTGAGACAACATTCTTTCTTACCACACTTCCTGTTACATCTCTTGTGGGAAATTAATTTGTTAACCATCCAAGAGTTAACGTGGTCCGTGCTTGTTGTTGCATTTACTTGGCACCGTGACGAGGCTGTGTGAGCGTGAGATGCCCCTTCTCAGCTTCCCAGTGACTCACGGCTCCCACGCCAGGTGCAGAGCGCCACTTGCTGTTGGTGCTGGCAGGCCTGGCATTTGGGGCGTGGGAGAAAGTATGCATCCGTGTGTGTTGGGGTGGAGGGTGGGTGGTTTGTGTGAATAGAAAAGCATGACCTTTCCGAAAATTGCTCAGAAATACGGAGAAGGGAAGCAGAGACATGGGAGCGCGCTGTGCCGTGGCAGTCAGCCCTGGCTGCGTGGTGTGGAGAAGCCGTGGAGGCGGACAGAGGTGGGAGGACGTGACCACAGCCCCTCGGCCACAGCGGGGGTGTCCGGGCCGCTGAGCTCAGGGAGGACACCTGCTCTCCCACCCCGACGTGGGCAGAGCCTGTCGTTCTCCGGCCAGTGGTCTCGGAACATTTGAGGCGCCGGGGAAACTGCATTCTATGGAAGGAGTGCTCACACGTGTCTGAGAAGTTGCCCATATGTCATTGGATCTAAGATGTCATTAATTGTGAGGACACGTCATTGTTTTACATACCACCTAGAAAGAAAACACACTGCTAAATGACACCAACTTCAGAGTTCAGTACTAGATGTTAAAAATATATGTATTTGACCCAGCCAATGTGGCTCAGTGGTTGAGCATCCATCTATGAACCACCAGGACACAGTTCGATTCCCAGTCAGAGCACATGCCTGGGTTGCGGGTTCAATCCCCAGTGTGGGGCATGCAGGAGGTAGCCAACCAATGTTTCTCTCTTATCATTGATGTTTCTATCTCTCCCCCTCTCCCTTTCTCTCTGAAATCAATAAAAAATTATTTTTTAAAAATGCCATATGTTAAGAAAGAAAGAAAGAAAGAAAGAAAGAAAGAAAGAAAGAAAACACATATTTGCATCAGTGAAATAAGGTAGCTAATCAGCAGTACCAGGCTAGCGCGTGAGAGTTGCTACAAACCCAGTGGTGACATGAGGTGCCCGAAATGCATGATGAGGCCACAGGGATGGATTCCTCAGGAAAGGGGGGGCTCCGTGGCCCTGGTCAGCATTTTCCCAGAGTCCGGGACACATCCATTGAGGGGGGCTGGTGTAAAACTCATCGTTGCCTATTGAGGAGGCATTTGCTTGTCAGTTCTCTTTAAACTCTGAGCATACCAAGAGAAAGACTTGATTTTGCTCTTAGCATGTCCTTACACCTTTCTGGTTCTCGGTCATCTCTCTTCTCTGTTAACAGAAAGAACAGGGGTCAGGTAGCCGGCACCAGGTTCAGCTAGCGTTTAACAGCCTTGTTTTGTTTTCGTTTTTTATTATTTTCAAGATATGGCAAGTAACACTGGTTTTCCACTTAAAATCCTGAAAAAGTTTACATTCTAAATGAAGTCATTAGAGTAAGAGAAAATGGCAGTTTAAAGAAAAAACAGGAAGTGGGTAATTTCTTGAAGATGTTGAAGTTTGGAAAACGCGGGCCTCTGGATTCAAGCAGGGCCTTTGCGGGTGGATAGGGCCTGGGAAGACAGAAGAGAGGAGGGCGGCCTTGCCTCACCATGGATACTTCTTAACGTGCTCTTTGGGTAATTTTTATTTTATTTTTTTAATATGTTTTTTATTGACTTTAGAGGGGAAGGGAGAGAGATAGCGCGATAGAAACATCAGTTGGCCGCCTTCTGCATGCCTCCGCCCCGGGGATCGGGCCTGCGCCCCGGGGATCGGGCCTGCGCCCCAGGCAGGTGCCCTGACCTAGGCCAGTTGTTGCTAGAGGTCTGGGGAGGGCACAGCAGGCTGCCAAGGGGGAGACGAGGGAGTGTTTGGGATCATAGGGCTGTTCTGTGTCTCACTGTGGTGGCGGTCACAGAAATCTCCGCGCATGTTAAATTCACAGACTTGTGCATCCAAAACAGTCCATCTTACCGTATGCCAGTTTAAAAATAAAAGCCAACTCCCACACTCCATAGAAGCAGCTCCAGCGGGCAAGGCACAGAATTGAAGCGCCAGAATAAATGCAGCGTTAAAGCAATTAAAATGGAATGAAAGCGTGAAAGCCATAGAGTCACTTCCTGTCAGTATGTAAATACACAGAAGATGAAACTTGCCACAAAAGCTAACCACAGGCTTTTTATACGTTTGATTGCCAAAGCCTGTTGAAGTAGCTTTCACATCCTTTTTTGAAGATTTACTGTTCGCTTGTAAGAAGTTGTGCACAGTGCTTGTGCTTGTTTAAAATTTCAGTAAAGCCTTGATCCCACTTTAAAATATATATATTTCTTATTGATTTCAGAGAGGAAGGGAGAGAGAATCATTGATTGGCTGTCTCCTGCACGCCCCACATTGGGGATCGAGCCTGCAACCCTATGACCTCCAGGTTCTTAGGGCAATGTCAACCACTGAGCCACACTGGCCGGGCTCAGTCCCACTTTTGTTTTCCTTGCAATTGAGCTTGGATTCTCTCACTTGTTTTTGTTAGCTCCGGGTCAGCACAGCGGTCCCGGGAATGCCCTTGGGAAGCAGGCACAGTTCTCAGTGGGCGTCGAGTGGGGGCCCATGCTGGGGCCTTGCATGACCACTACCTCAGTGAAAGCCTCCCGACGTGGGAGTCATTTCTGGGGCTTAAAAAAAATGTAGGTGCTCAGAGTGCCCCCTAAGGAGATTTAGGAAATACAAAATCTGTGTTTGGTTTGGGGCTTGGGTGTGTGTATGGGGAGGGGGGCGGTCGCGTGCGCGTACACATGCATGTGAAGCACTGAGCAGCCTGGTTTGAGATCAGCGGGCTAGAGTGTGTGTGTGTGTGTGTGTGTGTGTGTGTGTGTGCGCGCGCGCACGCATGTGAAGCACTGAGCAGCCTGGTGTGAGATCAGTGGGCTAGAGTGTGTGTGTGTGTGTGCGTGTGTGTGTGTACACGTGCATGTGAAGCATTGAGCAGCCTGGTTTGAGATCAGCGGCCTAGATGGGAGTCAGACACAGGTAGGCAGGAGCGAGGGAGACGGGTGGAAGGAATACAGAAGAAGGCTGTCAGTCAAGCGTGGTAGGGTCTTCCTGAAGGAAGACTTCCTGGAGGTGGTGACTCCTGTGTCAGAGCCCCAAAGGATGTGGAGAGCTGCTCTGCAAGGACAAGAAGGATGTTCACGTGGAGGGAAAGAGGGGATGCATGGACATTTGGCACAGGCGGAGAAGGCTGGCAGGGAGCAGATGGGGGAGGAGTGGGACCAGGCAGTGGGGGCCCCGATGCCAGGCATAGGGGCTGTGCCTGAGGCCAGCGGGTAAGTCAGTTTCTCAGTGGCCCGGGAGGAGCTGCCTGTGTGCGGGTGCGCTGGGCCCACTGGGAGCAGACCTTCTGGGTCTGAGGGCGGGTCTGCATTTCACCCAGTGCCCAGGGCATTGGAATCAGAGCTGCCGAGGTATCTTCTACCAGGAATGTGCTTCCTTGTGTGTCTCATTTGTGCTTCGTCACATAGCTCTCACCTGCAGCCCACTGCTGAGCCTCGCATCGGGGGCGCTGTGCTTTTTCAGGGAATGGTGTGTGGGCCAGCCATGAAAAGGCCAGCCCCCCGCAGGTGTCTGTTCGCCCGGGGTCGTCGTTTTTCCAGAAGGAAGTGGAGGCCTCTCAGTGGCGGGCCTTTCGTTGGGAAAGAAAAAGGTGAGGTGGGGTCCGCCCTGGAGAAGGTAACACTTCACAACTTCCTGGTGTCCCTCCCAGGAGCAGCAGCCAAGCTGGACAGACGACCTGCCGCTCTGCCACCTCTCCGGGGTGGGCTCGGCCTCCAACCGAAGCTACTCGGCTGATGGCAAGGGCACCGAGAGCCACCCGCCGGAGGACAGCTGGCTCAAGTTCAGGTGAGAGTGCGGTGCTCGCCTGGGCACGGCAGACCCTCTGCAGGCGTCTGCTTGGCGACTGTCTTGCATGGGGCTTGCCAGTGAGATGGGCCCATGGAGGTGGCGTGTGCCGCTGTCCCTGCCACCTCTGACCTTAGACTGGCCTCGGCTTGCGACAGGGGGCTGGGGAGCATCCCTGAAGGTCATGGCCTGAGTAAAATGATGGTCAAGCCGAAACCGTTTTTGGCTCAGTGGATAGAGCGTCAGCCTGCGGGCTGGAAGGTCCCAGGTTCAATTCCCGTCAAGGGCATGTATTGTGGTTGCGGGCACGTCCCCGGTGGGGGGTGTGCAGGAGGCAGCTGTTTCTCTCTCATCGACGTTTCTAGCTCTCTATCTCTCTCACTTCCTCTCTGTAAAAAAATCAATAAAATATATTTTTAAAAAAATGATGGTCAAAGCGAGGGACCTATGTGGGCACCTGGAGCCACAGCTGCTGTCTCTCTGGTCTCGCCCAGTGTTTGCCCCTCCTGCCCCTCCACGCTGGAACTGGCGTTCCTCTGCGAGCCGCGGTTTCCCCCGCCTTTTGCCTCTCTGTCCCAGGAGTGAGAACAACTGCTTCCTGTACGGGGTCTTCAACGGCTACGACGGCAACCGGGTGACCAGCTTCGTGGCCCAGCGCCTGTCCGCCGAGCTCCTGCTGGGCCAGCTCAACGCCGAGCACACGGAGGCCGACGTGCGCCGCGTGCTGCTGCAGGTGCGAGCCCGGCGCGGGCCCTGGGCGGTGAGGGTGGGTCCTCCTGCGGGGCCGCTCCGGAGCCTCTCCCGGCGGCAGGGGCTCCCTGTTTCCGGGAGTCCGGGAGCAGACAGCCATCACAGTCCTCGCCCACAGCTGGCAGGGTTGGCTCCGGAATAGATCGTCTTGGGGAACGGGAAGTAGGGGTGGGACTCTGGGCGAAGGGGTGCAGTGGGGGGCGTGATTTAGGGTAAGGTGGAAGCGGGACGGTTCTGATTTCTAACGATTTGTCCCGCGTCCCGCGGCGTTTTAAAAAAGTCCCGATTTTTTTTCAAAACGAGGCGGGACAAATTGTTAAAAATTGGGACGTCTGGTCACCTTATTTAGGGAGGTTCCTTGCCTTCAGGCGTGGCTCAGGTGCTCAGCCTCCAGTCACTGCCAGCAGCCTGGGCCTCGCCCCCTCCCTTCCGGCTGCTTGGGGCTCCCTCCAGCTCTGCAGTGCTTCCGGCTGCTGCTTGGGAGATTGCTTCTCGGCACCTCCTTCTGGAAGCACATCTGGAGGCAGTTAGTGTGGATGCGGAGGATGGCTTCCTGTTCCTCGAAAACAGCGTTCTCAGCCCTTTCCCTGTCTCAGCACCCGAGGCCCAGAGCGCCCTCCAGCCTCGGGGCCTGTGCCGGTGGCTCTGGCTGCCCCCAGGAGGGGCAGCAGCATGCCGGCGTTCGGGGCCAGCAGGATGCGGTCCTGACACCGGTTGCCATTGATCTGGACGTGCTCTGAGCCAGGTCCGAGGGCTCAGTCACTCAGAACAACTCTTAGCTCTGTCGAGGTGAGGAGACCGAGGAGTCCACTCCCGGGTGGCCTGACGCCAGCCACGCCCGTGCCCTTAACCTCCGTCTTCAGCCGCGGCCTCTGTCGCTCTGCAGTGCACGTGCGGGCCCCACCCCCGGCGGCCTGCACTCAGTACAGTTTGTCACTCTAGTCCGGGGCGTGGCAGCATCAGCTGGGGGTGCTGTTTGGAACCGGCCATTGCCCTGACACCTGTCCCTGCCCTCTCTGTGCCTCTAGGCCTTCGACGTGGTGGAGAGGAGCTTCCTGGAGTCCATCGACGATGCTCTGGCCGAGAAGGCGAGCCTGCAGTCCCAGCTGCCAGAGGTACTGCCCTCGCTGCCCCCGAGAAGAGGCCCGCCAGGCTGGCTCTGCCAGGAGCACCGATGCATCTGCCACATCACTGGGCCAGAGCAGCACGAGTTAGGGGACAGTTCCTGCGGGGGGAATAGGGGCCAATGGGTGGACCCTCCCAGGGCCTGCTCGGTTGCTGTGGGCAGCTTTCCTCAAGCTGGGCATGGGGCGGGCAGTGAGGGTCAGTCCTCGACTGGAGTCTGCCCATAACCTACCACGCGTATCAGCCACAGCACTCAGAGCCGGCAGGACAGTGAGGTGGCCTCCTGCTTTCCTAGAGAAGCCCGCCTGGAAGTGCAGCTTCTGTCCCGGCTGGGCCTCCAGCCCCCGCTCTTTAGGGGGGAGGGGGAGAAGGGCTCTGAGGACCCGGCCTGCTCTGACCCCTCATGGTGGCTTGCAGGGGGTCCCCCAACACCAGCTGCCTCCTCAGTATCAGAAGATCCTCGAAAGACTCAAGGTGCTGGAGAGGGAGATTTCCGGAGGAGCCATGGCGGTCGTGGCTGTCCTTCTCAACAACAAGCTCTACGTCGCCAACGTCGGTGAGCCGCCTGCTGTCCCCGGGGAGCGGGGAGGAGGCGGCGTGGGGGCTGCGGTCTTCGGGCAGCTGCTTTCCAGACACGTGGGGTCTCCAGCCCGTCTGTCGAGGCCATTGGGTGGGTTTCCCTGTTTCTCTGAGTGTTTCTTCTTGCCCGGCCGTATGGCTCAATGGTTGAGTGTCAGCCCATGAACCGAGAGGTCACTGGTTCGATGCCCAGTCACATGCCCGGGCTGTGGATTTGATCTGCAGTAGGGGCGTACAGGAGGCAACGGATCGGTGTTTCTCTCTCATTGATGTTTCTCGCTCATCAATGTTTCTAACTCTCTCTCCCTCTCCCTTCCTCTTTCTAAAATCAATAAAAACATATTTTTAAAAATTGATTTGGGTTATCTTCCAAAGAAGAAGAGAGTCTCAGTCCCAGTGAATGGTGTTGGAAGGAGCAGCAGGAAGCGGGCAGCCCAGCTTCCGTCACCATGTTGTCCCTAACGTGTGGCCTTGGGAGTCGAGTCCCTGTCTGGGCACCTCAGTGGCTTCCTGTTCTGGAGGGTGGCGAGGAGGGCTGGGTGGGCTCGAGAGTGCGAGGTCTCAGGGACGTTGTGTAGGATTTGTGGGCAAAGAAGAGGCCGTCTGGGACCCTGGGAAGGCCATACCCCAGGGTGCCGATTACTGTGGGGGCGCTAGGAGACCCCACTGACAATGTCCCTCTTCTCTTCCCCGTTTCCTTAAGATTTCATTAACTTAGAAATGTAAAAAAACAGAGTGGCTAGCACTTAATGAGCCCTGTGCCTGTCCCCAGCCCGGAGTCCCCTCCTCATGGCCAGTCTCATTTCTCTGCAGACCTCGGTCCCTGCGTGTTTGGGAAGCAGACACCAGACATCGTGGCCTGGTATCTGTAAATATGTCAGTGTATCTCCCTAGACTAAAGCTCCCTTATTAAAATCATAATCATAATCATGCTAGGATGGAAAAGTTTAACCTAATTCCTTAATATTGTCAGCTCTTATGACTGCTGGCTCACCCAGGGGTCTGAGCCCATTTTCTTTGCTTGTTTCAAGGATTTCCATTCTCTCTCTCTCTCTCTCTCTCTCTCTCTCTCTCTCTCCTCTTTTTTTCTCTCTCTCTCTCTAACGTGGCCCTTTCCTCCCTGTGCTCGTCTGTTCAGCTGCTCAAATTCTGCTACAGGTACGAACCGTGCACTGCTATGCAAATCCACGGTGGACGGGCTGCAGGTGACACAGCTGAACGTGGACCACACCACGGAGAACGAGGACGAGCTCTTCCGCCTCTCCCAGCTGGGTGCGTGGGGACATGGCTGCGGGCGGGTGCTGGGAGAGCAGCCCGTGGCTCACCCTTGCCCTCTGCGGTGGTCATGTGGCGAGTAGACGGGCTGTGACCAGCCTGCCCGGGGCTGAAGCCCAGCTCTGTTGCTAACTAGTTGGTGATGGTTGGAACTTACTCATTTTCCGTGCCTCAGTTTCCCCATCTGTGTAATGAGATGATAGGCACACCTGCCTCGGGGTGTGGTGGGATTAAGAGTAACGCATGTAAAATGCTTCCCAGCGCACCTGGCATACGTTCTCTGTTATTGGTGGAGACTGAGGCCACAGCAGTCCTGAGGTTGCGGCCACTGCCGCAGCCTCCCTCTCCCAGGCCGCTGTGCTGGGCGGTGCTGGGTGTGCTGGGCTGTGGAGGAAGCGTCCCAGTGAGGGGTGTTCTGATGGAGATGGGGATTGAGGACATGGGGGCTACTGGCTTAGCCGCTCTCCAGGGCGCCTGGTGTGACTATTTCCTGCTCCCCGGGTGTGTCTGTCCCCTTTCTGTTCCTCGTTATGAACTGTCTGGCTTGTGGTGTTCTCCCCTTGGTAGGTTTGGACGCAGGAAAGATCAAGCAAGTGGGGATCATCTGTGGGCAGGAGAGCACCAGGCGCATTGGAGATTACAAGGTCAAATATGGCTACACTGACATCGACCTGCTCAGGTAGGTGGCCGGCCGCTGTGCTCCCCACCCCAGGAGGCTCCGGGAACAAAGGAGCAGCTGCAGTAGCTCAGAGCCCAAGGACACTCTTCCTCCCAGAGGTTGGTGTGAGGTCAGGGGTCAGAGTCTTGTAGAGCTAGGCTGGCCAAGGTCAAAGCCAAGGGCAGCAGCTAGTGCCATAGGGCTAGCAGGAGAGGCCAAGGTTAGCCTGAGGTGGGTAGGGACAGACCAATGGCCTTGTTGGTCAGGGCTATTTATGGCCAGGGCCAGGGCAGACGTGTGAGATGAGTTGTACATTTTCCTCCAAGGATATTTCGCTTCCGGCTGCCACCCAATGATCATAGCAGCAAATGGGCACAGCTCTGTACATATTCTCTTATTCGGTCCCCCCTCCGGTCCTAGGAGGGAGGTACTATTGTTACCCGAGGCATTTTCATGAGGAAGCTGACCCGGGGACAGGCGGCAGCTTCTCTGGTCATGGGGCTGGCCGTGGGCAGAGGCAGGACTTGAACCCAGGCAGCCTGCATTCTGAGCACAGTGATTGGAAAAACGGGTATGTGTATGGTCATGGCATGTAATGTCACAATCGGAGCCCTGGAGGAATCATGCCAAAGACCCATCGTCAGGAGCAGGAGTTAGAACTCCCTCCTCCCACAGGATTTAGGCCGTTGAGTCTGGAAACTTTTGTCTCTAATTGGTGGGGTTCTGCTGTTTTGTTGAAAAGTACAGATGTGGTTTCAGACAGTTCAAACAGTGCGTGCCAAAGACACACTGTGCAGAGTGCGTTTTTCTCCTTCTCCCCGGAAGCTGCTGTTTCCTGTGTGCCCTGCCCAGAGTTCCTGCATGCGCGTGTGTGTGTGTGTGTGTGTGTGTGTGTGTGTGTGTTTGGTGGGAGCGGGCATCCTTTTCAAAACATGCACTAAATATTAGCGCACCCTTTCCAGCATTCTGCACACTTAGCATTGAGGTGTGTGTTCCTGGTAATAGCTGCTGGAACTCTGTGCTGCTGTGTCAGCGCTCGCTACTGGTCCCCATGGAAGGACCCTCCGGGTATTTCCAGACTCTGCTCTTCCAGATCCTGTTGCCAGAACACCACCTAGTTGCTTGTGCCCTGCTGGTCCATAGTGCATCAGAGGTGACTCTGTGTGTAGTGTTGCTGAGGTCTGAGTCGCCTGACACTTGCTTTGGGGGAGCCCAGGAGGAGTGGGCTTTCAAAAGAGAACCCCACCCTCCCGCTGTCCACCCTGCCCCCTGCACTGCCCCGGCTCTGTGGGTGGGGGCTGCAGAGTGGGGCTGGGATTGGGCGCCCCGAGCCCAGCCGCCTGCAGCTTTCTGGCCCTCAGAACTTGGTTTTAGTACCTGCGCTCAGAGACAGGTCTGTTTTTCTGGTTTTCCTTTTTTCTCTTCTTGCCAGATGTGTGTTTTATTTTACATTCTGGGGTAGATTCTTCCCCTTAGCAAAATAAATGCCCCGAGGGGGCCATTCCGGTACAGCTGCCCCTCTGCTCTCTCCCCCAGCGCTGCCAAGTCCAAGCCCATCATCGCGGAGCCCGAAATCCACGGCGCACAGCCCCTGGACGGGGTGACGGGCTTCCTGGTGCTGATGTCCGAGGGGCTGTACAAGGCCCTGGAGGCGGCCCACGGGCCTGGGCAGGCCAACCAGGTGAGCTGGGCCTCAGCAGAGCAGGGCTGGCCAGCCTGCAGGTGGCACGCTCCCCTGGGGACCTGGCCAGCCCTCCTGCTCTGATTCTCAAGTGCCATTGCTGGGTGTCTTCTCTGGGCTCAGACCTGGGGAAGCAAAAGCCCAGAGCTCCAAGGACACCCATCCCTCCCAAATCCTTCCTCGATTTGGGCTCGAAGCAGCCCCAGAGCCCTGAGCAAAGCCTGAAGGGAAGTGGGCGAGATGGATGTGAATTGCTCTGGAGAATGTCCGGGAAAGGGCCTGGGCCGAGGAGGAGCGCTCAAAGTGCGGCCTTGCGCTCAGAGCCCTGGCCAAGGAGTCGCGCAGCCATGGCCACGTCCGCGTCCCCTCCCCGTCCTCTCTGAGCTGCGGGTGACTCACAGTTCGTTCTCATGTCTGAGACGGGAGGACAGCACCAGCTTTGTGGGGTTGTGGTAAAGCAGTCCTTCAGGGATGATTTTGAAGGGAAGCTGCCTCTACCTGACCTTGGATGGCGGGGTTGGTCAGATAAGTTCAGGTCGTGTTTCTCCTTCCATCTCTGAGTCTCGTAGGAAGGTAACGTCTCTGCTTTTTTCCCTTTCTTTTCTTTATTATTATTATTATTTTTAGAAAAGCAAGAAGTTATTGAGTGCAGCAAAAATATATACTTAGGCGGGACTGCTTTGGTTCACGGGGAGGTCAGAGAAAAGGGGGCCGTGGAGACAGGTTCAGGGGGTCGGCCCGGGATGAGCTGCCGCTGCTCCCCTTTGCCAGTCTCCGGGACCCCTTAGAGGTTAGGGGATACGTGCCTGTGGGGGGCGGGAGCGGGAAGGGAAGGGCATGGGGGTCCCTGGAGGGAGACTGCCTGCCTTGTCCTTTCTATTATAATTAAAAATATGAGGGCAGCCGAAACCGGTTTGGCTCAATGGATAGAGCGTCGGCTTGGGGACTGAAGGGTCCCGGGTTCGATTCCGGTCAAGGGCATGTACCTTGGTTGCGGGCACATCCCCAGTAGGGGGTGTGCAAGAGGCAGCTGATCGATGACTCTCTCTCATTGATGTTTCTAACTCTGTATCTCTCTCCCTTCCTCTCTGTACAAAATCAATAAAATATATTTAAAAAAAAAATATGAGGGCAAGTCTTGTATGCCGCCCCCTCTCCTGGTGCCCGTGTTCAAGGTTTCTCACCTTTCATCTTGTTCCTCTCGCAGCCCTGTACCGGGCAGCAGCTCCCCATCACTTCCCTCAGGGAGCTGGGTGCGGACTCAGGGTCTTGCCTGAGGTGACCTAGGAGGTCAGCGAGGGAGCTGAGCCCAGCCGACTGGCCCAGGTGCCCGCCTCTGCCCTCTTCCTCCAAGAGACTGGCCAGCCAGCATGGAGAGGATTTTGTGGTTTTGATCTTAGCATCAACGTGATTTTTTCTTTTCTTTGATCTTCAAGATAGAATTGTCCAGTGGCCCCTTACTGGGTTCTAGGATACCCTGGTCAGTGGACTTCCCTGCCTTCATTCTGCATCCCCATTTTCTGACAAAACTGGCATAGCATAGCCTAAAATGAGTTTGTTCCAGGAAAAAAAAAAAAAATATATATATATATATATAGCTTAATAATCACAATCTCTCCTCTGGTTGCAAGTCTCCTGGGTGCCTTAGGGGGTACATGCCTAGTGTGGTGGGCACGTATTTATGCAGGGCTTTCTAGCAATCCCCACAGTGCCCTCTCATCCATTATGTTACTTCCTCCTCGTAGTGACCCAGTGAGGTGGATATTCTCCCTGAGAGATCACAAGGCCACACCTGTTCTCATGAGAAAGTCCCCGAAGGATTATCCTGAATCCCTTGAAAAGCTCAGATTGCAGGTGTGGCTGGTGGGGACTTCCTTCACCTGCTTAACCAGTGGCCCTGAGTGTCCTGGTGAGGCCCTGGAGTCACGGCCCACAGTCCCCGGGCCCCTGTTCCTCACCAGGTCTCCGCCCTCCTTCCCAGGAAATCGCCGCAATGATCGACACCGAGTTCGCCAAGCAGACCTCCCTGGACGCGGTGGCCCAGGCCGTGGTAGACCGGGTGAAGCGGATCCACGGCGACACCTTCGCTAGTGGCGGCGAGCGTGCCAAGTTCTGCCCGAGGCACGAGGACATGACCCTGCTGGTGAGGAACTTCGGCTACCCGCTGGGCGAGATGAGCCAGCCCGCAGCATCCCCGGCTCCAGGTGAGGGCGGAGCGGGCAGGAAGCCACCTCCGAGGCCGTGGGCGGGGTGGGCTGCAGAGAGGCTGAGGGACAGGCCTTGCTCCAGGAGCACAGCAGGCAGAGGGGAGGCCTGGCTGTGAGCAGCTTTCATCCGGGCCTCTGAGCTGCCTTTGATTGGTTTCCTTTTCGCCTGTGACCTCCTAATGACCCGAGAGCAGAGAGCTTCAGAGACACCAGGCCACGCGATCGGGACGATGGCTCCCCAGCTGAAGGCCTGCTCTGCGCCTGGCACTTGACCCCAATGTTTCCTGTAGTCCTCACTGTCAGCCCTCAAGGAGATAGCACCCCCTTTACAGAAAGGGAAACTGAGGCTCTGGGAGGAAGAGACTTAGGGGAGGCGAGGCATGCAGACAGAAGGTCCCGAAGCCTGGCTCCGTTCCCGGGCCATGTTTGGGGTGAGAGTAACGCACTTTCTACTCTGTGTCTTGGAGTCGGATCGCTCAGGGGGCCAGGCACTCGTTCTTTCTGCACCACCTCCCGCGCTGCTCAGGGTGCAGACCGACGGCTCCTTCTTTCTTCAAACAAGCTTAGCGCTCAGGCATGCTCAGATGGGTTTGCTCTCCAGAGGACCAGGGTTACTGGAGTTTCTCTAGCTTGCTGTTATTGCAACCATATTTTTGTTGGGCCAGCCTCAACTAGGAGCACGCTTATCCCCTCGGATTAGAGCATCGTTGCGGGAGGCCAGGCAGTAACCCTTTCATCAAGCAGCTCAGCACTTGATCCTCCTCTGCTTTGAGCACACGAGCTGCTGAGCGCCAGCCCCTGCCTGGCCGGCAGGCTTTGCCCCTAGACTCCCCTTCTCTGTTCCGAGGGGCAGAAGGCCAAGCTGCAGCTCAGGGAGCCGGGCCAGGTCGCCACCTTCTCCTCTCAGCCCTCAGACACCACTCCGTCAGGTCCTGGATGGCCGTTTCCCCCTCCCGGTGCTCCCTGAGGCCCACCTCTCTCTCCCTTCCACAGCCGCAGGAGGACGTGTGTACCCCGTATCCGTGCCTTACTCCAGCGCCCAGAGCACCAGCAAGACCAGCGTGACCCTCTCCCTCGTCATGCCCTCGCAGGGCCAGCTGGTCAATGGGGCCCACAGCGCTTCCACCCTGGACGAAGCCACTCCCACCCTCACCAAGTAAGCCCTCCCCCTCGCTGCTCTCAGGCCTGCCTCCTGAGGTCAGCCCCGGGTCACTGACAGGAATGCAGGGGCCAAGTCCGTAGCTAAGTGGTCCTGGGTGCGATGCCCCCGGGCTTGCACTTCTCACAGGCCCACCTCCCTTCCTGGGAGTTGTTTTCAGGCACTGAGGCTGGAAGAGGCAGCGCTGCAGGTTCCAGCCACTCACTGAAGTGGGACCTGGGAGGGGGCCGGTTCCCTGGACGGAGTGGCCAAAGGGACAGGGAACTGAAGTTGACAGCCTGCTGCTCAACTTTGGTTTCCTGTGGGTCCCTGTCCGAGTTTTCATTGAACGGGAAGGTCCTCTTGGCCTCTTCTCGGCCCTGAAGGGTGGGAGGTAGGGTGGCATCGCGCTTGGGCCCTGCGTGGTCCGCGCTGGCTTGTCAGAGCCTCGTTCTGAAATGTCTGTAGCTTTGAAGGGAGTTCTCTATTCTGCGGGGGGAGGGGCAGAGGCTGCAGGAGGTCTGGAGCCTGAGGAGGGTGGGCAGGCCACCTCCTTACTGCGGACCTGCCTATAGGTCTGGTGTCCACCCCACCCCCTCACTTCTGTGGAATGCTTGCCCCCTCCCCTCCCGCCCACCCGGAGACCGGGTCTGGTTTCCACATTCCGCTAGCTCCGAATAATAGAGCGGCCACACCCAGCGCTCCGAGGAAGCGGCCAATGGGAAGGGCCATCAGGAAGGGAGTGGTGCTGCTTCCCTCTGCCTAGAGGGGGCCTTCCCCTCCCCCGGCCCCCATGCTGCTGCCACTGCCCACAGAGGCTAGGGGGGCCTGGCCAGCAGCCAATGATGGGCATCCTGAGTGCAGATGGGGGGAGAGGAAGCCACTAGCTGTGCCCCCCAAGGCAGATCGTGGCAGCAGAGGTCCCAGGTCAGGCAGGAGAACCAGCTGTCCTTCTGCACCCTAACTCCCTGCGGGCTCCTAAACAGCCCCTTCCCTCCCTTTTGCATCTGAGCATTAGGTGGGCCCCACCCTGGGCCGGCCTGGTGCTGGGTGCTGGGCCGAGCTGAGGATTTGCAAGACGGTGGTGGGCCAGCAGGTGACTTCCAGCGGTTACATGCTCTGTGGCAGAGGGTGGGTGCCCGGGAGCTCTGAGGACATGGGGTCCCGTCTCCCCGCTGGTGAAGGGGAAGACAGGGAGGGAGGGAGGGAGGGAGGGGGTTTTTTGGGAGAAAATTCCTTGCTGGCCTTTGGGCTTTGGGGTTTGGGTCAGGGTGGACCCGGAGAGAGTGGAGTGCATGACCTCCAGCTCATTGCTGTGTGCAGTGGTCTCTGAGCACTGGAACGGGCGTCCATTTAAAAAGCCACTCGCAGTCAGAGCTTGAAAAGCCCATTTGACTTTCCATCTCCCAGAGGCCACGTGGTCGGGCTGGCTCTTGGGCCGCCGTCGTTAGAGGCCTGAGGCCTGAGGCAGGGCCGCGCTGTCCCGGCCTGGGAGCCACGGCCGCTGACCGACTCTGTCGTCCCCGCAGCCAGAGCCCGACCCTGACCCTGCAGTCCACCAACACGCACACCCAGAGCAGCAGCTCCAGCTCGGACGGGGGCCTCTTCCGCTCGCGGCCCGCCCACTCGCTCCCGCCCGGCGAGGACGGCCGCGTGGAGCCCTACGTGGACTTCGCCGAGTTCTACCGCCTCTGGAGCGTGGACCACGGCGAGCAGAGCGTGGTGACGGCGCCGTAGCCTCGGCGCCGAGGGCAGTCTGAGCAGGACCTCCGTGAGGCCCGGGGCCGCCGCTGGCCGGAGGGGCCTTGCCCACCAGCTGCCTGTGCCGCGGGGGCCAGCGGAGCCAGGCCCAGCCAGTGCCGACGGACCCCTCGGATGTGCCGCGGCAGGCAGCCTCCGCCGGGACCGTGGCGTTGCCCAGAACAAGAGGTGCCAGTGCGGAAGCCGGGCTGGCCGGGAGCCCCGTGGGCAGGTTCTCCTGGGACCCCAGCAGCCACTTTCTCCAGGCCACGCTTCCCGCCGCCTCCCCCGGGAGAGCCTGTGGGGGGACAGTGTCCCCCGCCCAGTGGCGGGTGGTTCGCCCGTTCTTCTCCGGCTCCACAGAAGCCCGTGGACATCTGCGTCCTCGGAGCCGGCACCGTCCCTGCCCCTTCCCCGGCCCCGCCCGGCTGTGCTCCGTGGGAACGTTCAGGGAGACCAGGAGGCGCTGGGGGCCTGGGGTGGCTGCAGCGGGCAGGTCAGCGGGACAGGAACCGGAGGTAACTGGCCCTGGAGTCCTCCAAAGGGGGGGCGGGCTGGCGGGCGTCCCCAGAGACGGGGCCCGGGCCCAGCGAGGACTGCGGCCTCTTGTCAGGCCCTCCAGGAGGGGAGGCCCAAACCGGGGCGAGCAACTCCACTTCGCTCTTCCCTTCCCGGAGCTGGGAGGCCGGGTGAGGAGCCATGAAGACCAGCGGCCGCGACCACCGACCACGTCCCTGTGCTCCGCAGCGATGAACAGATGCATGGAGAGGGAGCGGGGGAAGGGGTTCTGAAAGGGAAGCGGGTCTGTGAGCGCTGCTCTGTGGAGGGAGGCCCAGTGGGCACGCTTTACAGGGGCAGGCAGGCGGGCCCAGGCATCAGGCCCGAGATGGACCCCTCGGTGCTCGCTGCCCTCGGGGCGGGGACTGCACTCCTGTGTCCACGGAGAAGCAAGCCCAGGGACCCACAACGTGCCCGTCACGTGTCTGCGGTGGAGAAGTCAGACCTGCCAGTCCCCGGGCCCGTGGGTCCCACCCCCCAGCCCCGCAGCGCCTGGCACCATGTGTGGCCTCCATGCACTTGGACTCAGAAAAGTCGAAGGCCGACAACTCGGCCCTGCTGGGTCTGTGGTCCCGGACGGTGGGTCCGAGGGAAGCAGGGGGTGCCTCTGGGCGGAGCGCCCACCCCACCACAAAGCCGCCTGTTCTCGGGTGGACGGTGTAACGTCAGTCACAGGCCGGGCGCAGAGGGACTTCTCTTCCGGAACTTCTCGGCGATGCTGCTTGGTCTCTAGAAATAGAATCCCTTTGCCGCAGCGAAGAAGAATAAAAGGTCGTGGTGGTCATGTGCTGTCACTCCTGTCTCCTGAATTCAGGTGGCCAGGGTGGGCGGGTGCCCCCTGTCCTCCAGCTCCCGGGCTGAGTGGCAGAGCTGGACCGTGAGCCTGCCCTCCGCCTGGCCCAGGGCTGCCGCCCGCGTGGCCGGGAGAGGGTGGCGGCTCTCCCTGCGGCAGTGGCTACTGTGGGCGCCTTCCTGTGGTGAGGGGAGCGGGGGGCTGGTTCTTCCTGTGGTGAGGGGAGCGGGGGGCTGGTTCTTCCTGTGGTGGGGCTGGTGGGGCTGGTGGTGTGGCCGCCGGAGCGTCAGGCACCAGGACAGGCGTGCTGGTGGCTGCTCAGGAGTTCTTTGCTTTATTTTGGTTTTGTTTGGGTGGAGGATATTCTATAAATACCAGTCCATAAAGTGCCTCTTCCTGTTTTGGGAGACTCAAGAACTCAGCTCCACACAACAGCGTCTGCAGCTAAAGCTGAAACACTGCGTAGCTGGGTGACGGGCACCCAGACTCTTCCCGCCCTCTCCCTCTGCCGGGAAGCAGTTCTGGGGGGGAGAGGGGCCGCTGGCAGCCTTGGCCGTAGCCGTCCCCAGCGGGTCCTGACCACCTGAGTCCGTCCGCCTGGCACCCTGAGGGGGAGGCGGCGGGCGGGCCATGTCCCGGATGAGTGGCGGGGGCGCAGACATGGGCACAGTCCCAGCTCAGAGGGCCCTGTCTGGTCCAGTGGGCGGAAGGACCGCTCCCACCTGCTTTGCCACCAGCACTGCCCTGGCTGTGTCCTGTCCCCCAAGCCCGCCTCCTGAGTGAGGGCCCGAGGGGCGCTGCGTCGGCCTCTGGGTTCCCTTTGGTGGAGTAGGGGGAGCTTGGTCTGCTCTGAGATTTAAGAAGTGGCGAGGTCCAGGACAAGAACCAAGGCAGCCAGGCGAAGCGACCCTCGCATGGGCTAGCCGGCCCCTCTGACGCTGACACCGAGCCAGGAGCCAGCGGGGCCTCTGCAGCCGTGACCCCCTCCCACGGCCAGGTCAGGGGCCAGGGAGCGCCCGCCCACCGCTGTCTGTGCCCACTTGTCCCTGAGGACATCTGGCTCCCTCCCAGGCAGGGCTCCGTCTCAGGCCTGATTGAGGCCCCGGCCTGGATCCGGCCAGGGGGGCCAGGCCTTTGTCCGGGACCCTGGCCACGCCAGGAGCACATGGGTGCGGGGGGCCGTCCTCACCAGGGTTTGTGCTGGTGTCTCGGTCCTTGTCTGGGCCTCTGATTCTCACAACCCGGTCCCTACCGCTGGTGCCGTGGCCCCGAGACGCGCCAGGAGCCACGTGGCCGCTGTGACACAGCTCCAGGGAAAGGCGACCCATGTGCCCTTTCTGCGGCTGGTTCCTTCCTGTCACTCAGGCCTCCTCAGAGAGGCCGCCCTGTCCCCCCCCAGCCTCACCGGCCCATCTCTGTTTAATCTGACTCACAGAAACTCCTCATTTTTCTGTTTGTCTCTTAACTCTAAAATGTTCGCCCGCTCATGAGAGGGGGTCTTTGTCTACTTAATCCTTGGGTCCTGGCTCCAAGGACCATGTGGTAGTGAATGAATGAATGAATGAATGAATGAATGAGTGGATAGCTGTGTGAGCTACTTGACCATGCTGAGTCTAGGTTTCCTCGTCTATAAAATGAGGATCTGAATAAGAAGGCCTGGCATGTCTGAGCCTAGAGGTAAGAATGGCCCTGACCCGCGGATGTGCAAGAGGAGGTATGGGACGTCGTCGCAAGAGCTGAGATTTCCGCCTCCACCGCCACCGTCACACCCACCTCCACCTCCACCGCCACACCCATCTCCACCGCCACACCCACCTCCACCGCCACCGCCACACCCATCTCCACCGCCACACCCACCTCCACCTCCACCGCCACCGCCACCGCCTCCGCCACCGCCTCCGCCACCGCCTCCGCCTCCGCCTCCGCCACCGCCTCCGCCACCGCCACACCCACCTCCACCGCCACACCCACCGCCACACCCACCTCCACACCCACCTCCACCGCCACCGCCACCGCCTCCGCCTCCGCCTCCGCCACCGCCACCACCACACCCACCTCCACCGCCACCGCCACCGCCACACCCACCTCCACCGCCACCGCCTCCGCCTCCGCCACCACCACACCCACCTCCACCGCCACCGCCACACCCATCTCCACCGCCACACCCACCTCCACCTCCACCGCCACCGCCACCGCCTCCGCCACCGCCTCCGCCACCGCCTCCGCCTCCGCCTCCGCCACCGCCTCCGCCTCCGCCTCCGCCACCGCCACCGCCTCCGCCACCGCCACACCCACCTCCACCGCCACCTCCACCGCCACACCCACCGCCACACCCACCTCCACACCCACCTCCACCGCCACCGCCACCGCCTCCGCCTCCGCCTCCGCCACCGCCACCACCACACCCACCTCCACCGCCACCGCCACCGCCACACCCACCTCCACCGCCACCGCCTCCGCCTCCGCCACCACCACACCCACCTCCACCGCCACCGCCACCGCCACACCCACCTCCACCGCCACCGCCTCCGCCACACCCACCTCCACCGCCACCGCCTCCGCCACCGCCACCGCCACCCCCACCTCCACCGCCACACCCACCTCCACCGCCACCGCCTCCGCCTCCGCCACCGCCACACCCACCGCCACCGCCACCGCCTCCGCCACACCCACCGCCACCGCCACCGCCTCCGCCACCGCCACACCCACCTCCACCGCCACCTCCTCCGCCACCGCCTCCGCCACACCCACCTCCACCGCCACCGCCTCCGCCACACCCACCGCCACCGCCACCTCCTCCGCCACCGCCTCCGCCACACCCACCTCCACCGCCACCGCCTCCGCCACCGCCACCGCCACCGCCACACCCACCGCCACCGCCACCGCCTCCGCCACACCCACCGCCACCGCCACTGCCTCCGCCACCGCCACACCCACCGCCACCGCCACCGCCTCCGCCACCGCCACCGCCTCCGCCACACCCACCGCCACCGCCACCGCCTCCGCCACCGCCACACCCACCGCCACCGCCACACCCACCTCCACCGCCACCGCCACACCCACCGCCACCGCCACACCCACCGCCACACCCACCTCCACCGCCACCGCCACCGCCACCGCCACACCCACCGCCACCGCCACACCCACCTCCACCGCCACCGCCACACCCACCTCCACCGCCACCGCCACCGCCACACCCACCTCCACCGCCACCGCCTCCGCCTCCGCCACCACCACACCCACCTCCACCGCCACCGCCACCGCCACACCCACCTCCACCGCCACCGCCTCCGCCACACCCACCTCCACCGCCACCGCCTCCGCCACCGCCACCGCCACACCCACCTCCACCGCCACACCCACCTCCACCGCCACCGCCTCCGCCTCCGCCACCGCCACACCCACCGCCACCGCCACCGCCTCCGCCACACCCACCGCCACCGCCACCGCCTCCGCCACCGCCACACCCACCTCCACCGCCACCTCCTCCGCCACCGCCTCCGCCACACCCACCTCCACCGCCACCGCCTCCGCCACACCCACCGCCACCGCCACCGCCTCCGCCACCGCCACCGCCACCGCCACACCCACCGCCACCGCCACCGCCTCCGCCACACCCACCGCCACCGCCACCGCCTCCGCCACCGCCACACCCACCGCCACCGCCACCGCCTCCGCCACCGCCACCGCCTCCGCCACACCCACCGCCACCGCCACCGCCTCCGCCACCGCCACACCCACCGCCACCGCCACACCCACCTCCACCGCCACCGCCACACCCACCGCCACCGCCACACCCACCGCCACACCCACCTCCACCGCCACCGCCACCGCCACCGCCACACCCACCGCCACCGCCACACCCACCTCCACCGCCACCGCCACCCCCACCTCCACCGCCACCGCCACCGCCACCGCCACCGCCTCCGCCACACCCACCTCCACCGCCACCGCCACCGCCACCGCCACACCCACCTCCACCGCCACCGCCTCCGCCACCGCCACCGCCACACCCACCGCCACCGCCACCTCCACCGCCACACCCACCGCCACACCCACCTCCACCGCCACCGCCACACCCACCTCCACCGCCACCGCCTCCGCCTCCACCACACCCTCCGCCACCGCCACCGCCTCCGCCTCCACCACACCCTCCGCCACCGCCACCGCCACCGCCACCCCGGAGCGCACTGTCAGGTCCCTGTGGTGAAGGCTTCCCTGGGCCCTGAGAGAAGCAGGTGCCTTGAGCTCCCCGTGGAGCCAGACGTTGAGAGTGGTCGCTGCCTCTGCCCGGAAGCCCAGAGGGAGCTCTCCGATGGCCCAAACAAGTTTCCAACAAGGACATCTTTCATGCGTCTCCGTGCCGGGGCCCTGCTCTGAAACCAAACAAGGACGCGTCGCTGCCATCCCAGGGCTCAGCGTGAGCCTGCGCTTCAGTTCCGCTTTGTTCCCACGCAGAGCAGAGCCAGGCACTTGACCTTTCCCCAGCCTGGGCGGCCGCCTCCGGGGCAGACTGTCTGGCCGTGGCCTTGGGGAGACTGGCACCAGGTCACAAACTCCATTCCTGCCTGAGACCCCGGAGGGGGCCGAGGGCCGTGTGGACCAGTTGTTCTCCCAGGTTAGCGGGAGTGGGTGGGGTAGGGGCCAGGGTGGGTTTCAGAGCCCACCCATTGCCTCAGGGCCAGAGCCCCTGGGCTGTTTCCACGTCCTCCACAACCAAGCTCCCTCACGGGTCACTTCAGCAAAGCCGTCTGGGGTCCTGGCAGTGCTGAGCGAGGCGACCTGCCTAGAGCCAGCTCTGCCTCCCGGAGTCACCGCTACCCACTGCTCTCCCCCGGCCCTGAGAACGCTCCGCCGCGGGTGGGAACTTGCAAGGCGTTAAACTCCT